CCCCAACCCATTCACTAGTTGCATGTGGAGTAAGCACCACCCGTTGCTAGGAAGCAGGTAAGTGCGCAAGTGACCTAAATTTTTGATGCCAAGTGCGCAAGTGACCCAAAGTGCGCAAGTGACCGAAATTCCCAGTGCGCAAGTGACTGCCCGGCCCCGAGGTGGGGGAGGTCCGGGAGGTCCGGGAGGGTCCGAGCCACGTTTGGATGTTGTCTTTGGTTGGATCGGAAGGGTTTTGATTGGTTTTGGATGGTTTTTTGGGGTTGGGCCGAAGACCAGGCTTGGCAAACGGTACGCTGGAATATCCTCCACAAGCTGGAGCAACGTGGCTGGGACAACTGCTTTTCTCGCACTTCGGTGGATGCTCCAAGTGGAGACCCGAAGGCCACTTGGCGGAGCCGGAATTGCCAAACAACAGGAACCTTCAAGGGATCTCATTCTTTTCTTTTCCGTTTGTTCTTCTCCTTCCGATGCCAAGCAGCTGAATGGAAGTTTGGAGTCCCCCAGATTGAACACATCGAGCAAAAGCACTACCTGTTTGACCTAGAGATTCAGTCCTGGTGCTTGGCGCCAAGCACGTCGAGCCGTCCAAATCCGGGCGATGTGGAAGAAATCTCAGGCCGCACTGGCTCGGGAAGACCTGTTGCTTTGCACCAGGACGAATCCAAGAATCTCACTGGACATGGGTAGCTACATTCTTGGAGATCGAAGCATCTATGTCCAGCGCAACTGGGACTTGTCAGGTGTTTAGACTGACAAATGGAACTGACAGGATGCCGAAATGGGAGAAGTTCTCTCAGACCGGGAGAGAGGGAGAGAGAGAGAGAGACACCACTGACTGTAAAACATGCTTTTAACGTTCTGTTTCGCATCCTTGTGCTAAGGCTACTGCGTTGGGGATGTCATGGGGCAGGACTGGGGCTGCTACATCCCCCGCCTAGGCACCCTCCGCACGCGCGGCGGCCGCCTGCCGCGCGCCGCGATCTACCCGCTCCAGCGCTGCAAGTGTGGCAGCTTCTCGGTGCCGTGCCCGGCCCGGCCACTGGAGGTCACGGGTGATCACGTTCGATCATGTTAAACATTTTAACCATCATAGATGACTGGAACCAGGAGAGTTTTCATGGGACGTGTCAACCGCTATTACTGGGACTATGTCTCTTCTTTGGCCGTAGGAGGCACCTTCGCCCCGAGGTGCTGAAAGCGACCATGCCGGGTTGGAACTTCAGCGAGCACTGCCTGCCCCTGCCAGACATCGCCCAGCGACGGGCCCGGCGCGATGGGAGCGAGGCGGATCAGGCGGATGAGGAGGATTCGTGGGTGGCGGAGGGGCTCACTGCTGAGGATGTCCAAGTCTTGAGAGACAGAGCGGTGGAGCTGGAGAAGGCTGGCTATATGTCAATGCTGCCGTACTTCAGCACCTGCGATGCAACTTCTGTAGAGAAAAAGGTTGGATATCCCGGATATTGTCAGGATGGGTGCGACAGGTTTTCTGGCTAATAGTTTTCTTTGCGATGGTTTTGGCTCGACCAAAGGTTGAGCCATGAGGACCTGCTGGGCGGTACCATGGGTTGCTCGGTCGCTTTCATGCCATGGTGTTCTCCTGGGGCATGCGCTACAAGTGGACATGGAGAGAGAGAGCTAGAGGGAGCGACATATTATATGTGTGTGTGTGTATATATTAATTACACACAAAGGTGGTAGGCTGCTACGAATTGATTGAACTGCACGGTTTAGGTTTTCTCTTTTACAAAGGTATCCTCCGGGCAGGTGGCATTCCGACCATGAGTCGTGCTCAATCTCAAGTGTGTCTCCCAGCCAGTGGATGAAGTGTGCCATCGTGATGATGACACAAAGAGCCTATAGCAGGCGCAGGAGCCTTCTGGCAAACCGTCAACTAAATCTTGAGCAAGCTGCATGGCCACCAACAGCTCGTAGCGAGCATTCACAGCCAGTCCTTTGGACATATTGCGGCAAACGGCCCAAGCCTACTTGCGGACTCATTTGGGACCAGTCTCAACCTTAGCTTTCTAGTTCTTCCTTCCGTCCTTCCGTCCTTCCGTCCTTCAGTCCTTCCGTCCTTGCTTGCTTGCTTGCTTGCTTTTCCATTCCTTGCTTTCTTTCTGTCTGTCTTTCTCTTTCTCTTTCTCTTTCTCTTTCTCTTTCTCTTTCTCTTTCTTTCTTGTCTCTTTCGTTCTCTCTCCTTTCCTTCCCTCCTCCTTTTCCTTCCTTTGCTTGCCTCACCTCCTCCTTAGTTTGTGCGGGGTGTACCCGCAAACCTCACAAGCAAGGTTCCCCAGGTTTTCATTGCAGCTGCTGGGGTAGCACTTTTCCACCTGCAGACGGACCAATTCTCCGAAGACGAATTCCCACGAGTTCTCCCCACCCCGATGAATTCATCGCCGTACAATTTCCCAAGACAACTTTTCCTTGGAGGCAGCGCTGACACAACGAGTGTTTTTGCTTATATCACTTCACTTACTTGCCTGGCCCCGTTAGCCATCGCGTTGCCAGAAAATGGCCTTAAGATTCCATGCGTTCAATGGGCTGTTTTGTCACCATTGGGGCATTTAGGCAGGGAACAAACAAGACACGCGATTGGCCCCAATTTCAGGGGGTTGGTGAACCCAGCAATAACGTATGGAAGGACTGAATATTTTGTGCTGTCCCGAGGAGCACGACATATATAGGTGGATGCTTTTCCATACCTGAGGGGTGATCATCGGCTCATCGGCAGGCGCTTCATGCCTGGATGTCAGGATGACTGTTCCAGCAAATTCTGGTATGAGCAAGTATTATACAGCTTTTGTTCTGGCTCAACATCAAGTGTGTGGTTTGTGACGTACCGGATGTTCCACATCGTTCAGACGCTTGCCGCCCAGTTCTGTATAAGTTGTATACTTCGTCAGTACGCCAGCAGGAAACGCAATTGTTGCTGATGTAGGGTCTGGTGCGCATTATCATTTTCATGTGGACTGTGGACTGTCTTGTTACATCGAGGCAAGATAGCACCCCTTGATTTTTCGCATATGGAGATAACATACAGTGTGACATGCTAACCGATCGGGTAAGCTGTTCCAAAAGACCACAGGACATCGTTTCTCCCTCAACAATGACAAAAGGTCTTCTTCTTTTCCTCGCTGATGGGCCTCCTGTTCGTGTCGCAGACGTAGTTTTCGCTGCGATGGTTTTGGCTCGATCAAAGGTTGAGCCATGAGGTCCTGCCTGGCGGTGCCATGCGTTGCCCGGTCGCTCTCGTGCCATGGTGTTCTCCCTGGGCATGCGCTACAAGTGGGTGTCTGGACATGGATGTATATAGAAATGCAACGTCCTCTTTCTTTGGTATTTTTGTTTGTGTGCAGCTGGGAGTTTGGAGAACTCGCACATGTTTTATGCGACCATTGCTTTGGTCACCACGTTGGGATTTTTGTTTTTCCTTCCCATGTGGAAGCTCGCCGCGCACCGTTCCCGCCCAGGGTGTGGCCTGGGGGCTGGTGGCTCTACCGATGGCACACAGCCAGCTCTCTGCGGGCTGCCGAGATGCACAGGCCGAGCTGGGCATGAACCTATCGCAGCTCCAGGTGGGGAAGGTGTGTTGCAGGGGCGCTGGAGCTGGAGCCTTTCATCTTGCTTTTTGCAGCCCCCCATTGTTGTGCGAGCTGCATTAGCCTTAGGTTAATGCAGCTAGTCCGTCGGAGTGTTTATTGTGGGACAGCTGTGAGACAGCCAAACTCTGCAGGGAAGGGGTGTTGGAGCTGGTTTGGGGAAGACCGCCCCCGCTTGAATGCCTTCATTCTGACCGTTTCAACACCTGCTTGACGGCACTAGGCCAGACTAATGTTAAAAGACATTATCTATCGGCAGAAGTGGCGCCGATGCTTCCCGCAAAGAATCGTGCCACTCCGAATGACTTCCCTGGGGGTATGACTGGCAGATGCAATACTGGTGAGCCAGGTGTCCCTGTTTTTACCTCCCACTTTAGTTCCTAGTGGGCCATGGTGGCGCAGCTCCAGGTGCTCTCTCGAAGCCGGCTTGCTCGAGGCTCACATGCGCAATGTGCGTGGAGAAATGTGGAGAATGGACCGGTGAACCAACAGTCAATAGTAGCAAGAAGCTACTAGTAGCTCGAGCGGCATGCACACGGTCCTTCCATGTCCCGCGGCTTTCTGTCTGTGCCATGCTGTGCCCGCTTTCCATGAGTTCTCCAGGTCTTTCAGGAGAGGAAGACACTGCGCTCCTGGACTTAGCCAAGGCAATCAGTTGGGAGGGGGCCTCCACCCCGGGGCAGGTGTGGCGCCAGGCTATGTAGTGTAGTGCCTGGTTTCTGGTTGACACACACTTGGCTGACCTTATTTGGAGTGATGCAGCCGCGCACCGATGGCGTTCACTCCTGCGCTCCGCAGGAGGCCTGGGCTCGGCAAGAGGCGCTGATCGCTCGTTGCCCAGCAGCCCTTGCAGCCGCCTCGGCGCTTCTCATGCTGCTGGAGGTGAGCTTGTCTCCACACATCCGAAACTCGGCACTTCTCATCCTGCGAGGTTTCAGAGAAAGAGGATCGAGGTTGGAGTTGGGGGAAAGAAGCCAGGATGTGCAAGCCCCGCGAGAGATGAATGCGGCAATCTTTGGGTTTGAGTCTGTCGTGACCTCACGAAGCTAGTCGAAATGTTTGGAAGTTGAACTTGGATTAATTTGGGGCTGCCATGCGCCAGCATAGAGGTCAGGTCGGGAATCTTGTTAAATGAATAGCGCACCGAGAAAATCCAGTGGCAACCTACTAAAGTGGGGTAGGAACTGACTGTAGCACCAGGCGAGGACTTCAAGGATGGTCCATCAACAATACTGCTTTGGTGAACAGGTTTGTCGGAGCCGAGGGAATATGAAAGTGTGAACTTGTAGACGCATCCAGTTTGGGTTGTTGGATTATGCACCCAACCTTTCAGTTGAGATAAGAGCATTGAATCGGCATGGTTAAGAGCTGAGATTATATATATATATATCAGAATGGGGTTGAGCGACCACATGCAGCAACTGGGCAGTGGACACACTCAGGCAGAATCGTGAACCATTGGAAGAGATGCAGTGCGAGTAGTTGCAGGTAGCCTCTTCTCACCGGGCCTCCCTTCTTATCCGTTAGGGGGCATCCTCCGGAGAAGGAAGGATAACCTTGTTGCAATATGTGATATGTGCTTCACATCCCTTTGCCCCTTTTTTTGGGGATAATTTCTTTTGCAAATGCCTATCTAGCATTATCTAGCTATGCCCGTTGTTTGACTTCCTTTGTCTCACTTGCAGGTACGAATGAGGAGCACGATATGCACTTCCACCGCATTTCTCGCTATGAGTACGCTCTCGTGCGGGCTGCCAACCTCTGCATGCGCCGTGACCGAGCGTGGCCCGTGCAAAGTGCCGTCGGTGTGCCCCTCGGCAACCCAAGCAGTTCGATGGGCCACACGAGTAGCGGCGCGGTGTAGATCCACATTGAGTGTTTCCGTTGCAACTCAAACTCGTAGCGCAGAATGGCACAGAATGGCACAGTCACCCAAGCATGTTGCCGCCGTGTTGCCCGAAGCAGGGCGCAAATGATCCAAAAGAATCATCATTCCAGCTCCCATGGTGGTCGAATTATATTTGTATATACAGTTATAAAGTAAATATAGTGCACTTGTGCAGTTTCATGGTCCCAGAAAGGGACGACCCTGTTTTGCGGGCCAGAAAATGGACCTAGCTTTGGGGTCAAGAGTTCGGCTACAGTGTCAATCTTTCCGTGAGTGTGTATAGAACTTTGCGTCACATCGCTAGCGTTGTCCCCTGTCACTCCGCGTCAGTTATGGTACTACGAGGGCCCTCCAGACCAAAGCCTCTTTTCGCGCGGTGCTACGGCCCTGTCAGAGTCAATTACTTGAACCACTTACTTGGTACAGTGCGACCACAACAGCTGCAGCACTGCACGCCGCAAAGACATAACACAGCGCGACTTCACAATCACCGTTTGGAAGCAGCCCCTGGTGGTGCGAGGGCGGAGTCAACAACACCTCCGGCCTTGCCCTCAGCGGTCAGATCCGATCCCCGCCGCTGGGCCACTCTTAATGGCGTGCCAAGAAGGGCCACAGCCACCAACGGGCGGGCTTACTAGTGTAAATGCCACAACTTTCGGCGGGGGGTCACGCCTCTAAATACCACATAACACCACGACTGTTGGCCACAGGCGGCGATCCCTGTAAAATCCTGTAAATACAATTGTTTTTTTGGGAGCCCCCCCCTCCTGTAGACGTCACCGGTTTCAGGACCACAGGCTGGTCCATCCCAGCAAAATGCTACGCTGCTACGACCTGGGCGCCATAAGCGGGGCCACTCCTCGATTTTTGTGAACACACACATGGCATGGCAGCATGCAAAGTGATCGCAGACCTTGCCATGTGCAACGAAGGGCCCAGTTGCATCGCCACAAAACCATGGAACATTTGGCAGCGTCGTGGTGGGACCTGGTTGTATTTTTAGCTGCCACTGCCGTATCTGTGTTCATTGCCTCGTGGCGCTGGATGCGCGCGAAGACTTTCCTCAATTGCAAGTGGGAGGAGTTCTATTGCTGAGTGGCCTTTGAAAGCCAGTGTGAAGTTTGTGTGGGTTCTATGTTCCTGTGTGTGTTCGTCACGGCGCACGCATGCGCACGCATGCGCACGTAGTCTGAGGCTCAAGACCGTGGTGAAGTGGCTAGAGTTCAGGGTCGCGGCGGTGCGGCAGCTGATGGAAGGACCGCCGCGCGAAGAGATCACCGACGATGCTCATTTACAGGTGGGACGGAACCATAAGGATTGACCTGTGCTTTCGGGGCCAGGTTCCAACAGTTTGTGAGAGAGAGAGAGGGAGACAGAGTACTTCCAGTTTGCTGGGTGTGTTTTTCACTTTCTCTCCTTCTTCTTTATTTTCTTCTTCTTCTTCTCCTTCTTCCCTGTCAGGCTCTTGGGTGGTGGCCGAAAGGTCAAGCGAATTCTTAAAATCATATATCTACGTTCCACGTGCGTTGCAAGCGGATACATGATGCACACACATATACTAGTGGGCACACAGCACGCAGGTGTTTTTTTGCTTGCAGCGGCCGATTTGTTGCATTCCAAAACTAACGGCGCATTACTGGTTGGAGTTTCCATTGACCCGCATTCACTAGGCCCTGCTTCTACCAAGTTGAAACTAATGTCCCTTATGTTTCTTCATCAATGACTGCAGTAGGTCAGCCTTATGGTTTATCTAGTTGGTCGGGTGCCTTTTGGACATGGCTACGAAAGCAAACGCAGGAGGATCCCATTGGCGTTGCGGCTTCCCTTTCTTGTGGAGGATCCCCCCTTCCCCGTGCACCGTGGGAACGGTTGCTTCTTTGTACTGACCTTGCCAACTGCCACATTCAGCCAATTGATAAGCGTATTGGTCGAAGCCGAAGCACCATGGGGCTCATGCATAGGCGCCTCAGCTGGCGTTTGATAGTGTGACGTGATGCCGCGTGGAAACGAGCCAGGAATGGTTCCGACTTTTTTCCCATGTGGTTCCTGAATGCGCTTGAGCTGCGCTGCATTTCGCTTGATAAGGTCAATCGGTTGAGGTAAGACGAACATGTCATGAAACGGTCAGTGCCAGTGTCCAACCATATTTCCCCCCGGCCGTTTGTAGTTCCCGACTTCGCGCACGCCCGGGTAGGGAGGATGGTTTGTCCACGCCTGGGGGCCGGTTGTCATGCATATATGCTTCAACCATCTTCAACCTCAGTCAATGACATTTTGGTGTGCTCGTCCGGTCACCAGACGCGTGCGGACATCGTGTTGCGTTATATAGTAGGTTATATAATAGCCTGCGAACACACGAGAACAGTGGGAAGTAGTTTGTCCAAAAGCGATGCTAGGCCATCCTTGTAGGAATCAGCACGGGAATCGGAGTTGTGGGTGCTGCAGTCTGCAGGCCTTGGCTGACATCGGCGCTGTGCTGGACGAGCTGGGTTTGGAATGGTGGCCGTGTCGTGGAACCCTCATTGCGCTGATGAGGCATGGTCTGCGGAGCGGGCCGCTATCTGATGGCAAGCAGGATGTGGTGGACCATGATGTGGACGTGATGGTTGGCATCGTTTCAGAAGAAGCATGGAGTCACATCCGCTGGCTGGTGAATGACAAGCTACTAGAGATGGGGTGGCACAGCTGCTTTGGGCGGTACTCTGTAGATGCGAAGTATGGGTCGACAGTGCTGACCCGTGCCAGGGAAGATTTGTTGTTGTGTACCCGAGCAGATCCTGACGTCACATTGGACATCAGCACGTACATCATTGGCAAGGGCCGAACGGTCTATGCCCAGCGATTCTGCGCCTTGGATGGCTGGTTTTAGCTTCCACTTTGATCCGCCTCTTGCTCCATTTCACTTCTGTCCACCCCTCCGGGTCCAAGGCACCCCGACCTATGCGCCACGCCGCGGCTGCTACGTGCCGCGGGGTGCTGGCACCTTGCAGCATGGTTTGGGGCGTCTGCGGAAGTCGGCGATCCACCCGATGCGCCAGTGCCGCGCCGGGCACTTCTCGGTGCCCTGTCCGGCCAAGCCACTGGAGACCTTGAAGGATGGGGATGGGGTGCATGGGGGGAGAGCTAGATGATGGGGGTGAACGATCGATGTAGAGAGGGAAAAACTGGACGAGAGGGTGGCCCCGCACAGCAGATGACGCATAAGGTAACGACGACGATGATGATGCTGGTTGGACAGTTGAAGTTGGCCGTTCTTTACAGAGAATCCTTTGCAGGTGTTTTCGGGAATTGGAATGGATGGGGTTAGCGGTTAGCTTTTCATGAGCAAACCCTGGATGTGGACTTGTCCATGTTTCTCGCGCTTGCTTTCTGCGGTTCTCCATGCTTCTGCCTTTCAAGACAAACGTGCTCCGGTGTAACCGTCGGCAGGCCACCATGCCGGTGAACTTCACGGAGCACTGCTTGGCCCTCCCCGACCTCCTGCAGCGTCGCCAGCGGGGCTACGCCAGCGACGCGCGCTTCTTCGCGAGCGCGGCGCCGGACGCGCGGCCGGCGCTCCGCACCGAGGACGTGGCGCTGCTGCGGCAGCGAGCGCACCAGCTGGATGCGGAGGGCTATGTGTCCATGACGCCGTACTTCATGAGCTGCAAGAGTGAACGGGATCAAGACGATCCAAATGATGGAGCTGCAGCGGCAAGAAGAGTGGGTAGTGGGTGGGGGTTCGGAGGCATTGTGCGATTTCAGTCATGCACTGGAAGCAGGGCGCTGGTCTGGTGCAGAAGTGCTGCAGGTGGAGGATCGCAAACAAATCTCTGTGGCAGGGGAGCTCATCAATCCGATTGTGCGTAACGAGAAAGCGCATGAGATGAAGACAGACTTCTGAATCATTCACATTCGGAATCCTGTGCAATCTTTCTCTACAATTGCGCCTCTGTGGATGCACACTTGCTTTGCACAGTTGAGGTGGAAGATGCTGACAAAGCCCCACTCAGGCCAAAACCTGCTAAACTTAAAGTGTTGGATGTGTTTTTGCCCGGTTCTCCGCACCTCAAATTGCCGCAAAATCTCACCTGGCTTCGTCTGCCTCCAAGAAGTCGCCCAAAAATGGTCCAAAGCCTCGGGCGACGCCAGCGATCCAAGGCCGCGGACTTGGCTCAAGCGGCCGTCTTCGAAGACGAGGTGGAGACGTCGGGGTTCTGCGAGATGCACAACCACATCACAAACAGGTGACAATCAGAAAACGGACCATCCAAAGGGGGATTTTGTGGCTTGGAGCCCTACAATGCGACAGGATTGGAAAGCCAGCCGCAGCGTTGGCTAGACTGAAGTTTGTTTCTGCCAGTGAAGTGAGTTGTTGTGTATAGCATTTTCTGCATCACCAACTTGCCAAACATGGCACACCCCAGAAGTATAAGCTTAATGGGTTTAGTTTAGCTGCATTTGGTCCGCTCTGCGCCGATAGAGACAACCTGAGAAGGGAAGAACAAAAAAACCAGTAGAATCGAGTATGCAGGTCCTGCTTGTAAGGTAAGGGGCACGAGGCAGTTGACAATACCAACAAGAGGATTCGCATGAAAAAAACTACTTGAGACTTGTTTGGTGGTTCCTTCATCACAAGCCTACAAGGATGTTGCCCGAAGCGACCCTTAAATGCTTTCCTTGGTGGTCGTAAAGCTTCAGCCAAGTGGTTCCTTGAGAGAAGTGTGAAGTTTTCTTCTTAACAGCACAGCCAGGTCAGTGTATAAGATGCACAGATTGGACCGACCCATTTGGCCTCTCAATTGGCAGGCACCTTTCCTGCTTCGGTTGCAGCCAGAGCCTGAGACTTCATCGACTTAAAAGATCGCCGAAGGAGGTTTTTTTATTTGTCCGGATCCTGATGGTTGAATTGGCGCTACTTTCAATGCTGCCCGCTCTAGTCGCAGAGCAAGGGCAAACTCTCTTGCTCAGAACTCTTTCCCCAGATGACACCTCACTCCACTCAGAGTAAATGCTCCAGAAAAATTCCCAACAGCCGGCCATGAATCCGCCTATTAGGCAACGGCAGCATCACAAGTTCACCAACAAGTGCTGCGCCTTTTGCCAAGTAATTTTGTTTGAAACACGTGCAAACCTGTTCAATGTGCCATGCGGCCATGTGAGCATCACAACACGCAATATGTCGGCATAGACGTAGCAGCATAGCATGTCAAACCAATGCCGCAACAAGCAAGAGTCAAGAGACAGGGAGACACTCCGCAACCCACTTTGCACAACCGCATGGCCCGCACGACAACCTGACCACATGTCAGCTGGACGCCATGCCAGCATATGAATGCAACATATGGGTGTGACAACATGTTAACGTGTCTACACGTCCACGCGACGGCACTACATACAACGCGCCAATATGACACCTCAGCATGTCAGTCAGTCAACATGTAACATGACACTATGCTTACACGGTAGCATGTCCAAATGACAACATGTTGGTGGCAAGGACGCCATACAAGCATGGTAGCCTGACGTCATGACAACATGTCAGCATGACAACATGCCAGCATGATGCCATGCCAGCAACAGCATGCCAGCATAGCAGCATATCGGCAAAGTGCTCTGGAAATGGCTCTGGAACCTGCAACGGAACGTGCTCCAGAACCTGCCCTGCTCCGGAACCTCCTCCGACTGCTTCGGAATCCTTTCTATGGCTGAAGACCTCAACGCTTCACTGTTGGGAAGTAGCAACGAAATGACATCGGTTTCCAAGCCTTTTAGTTTCCCAACAACCATGTGCATAGCATCGGCCATTCCAGATCCGCTCGACTGTGATTTGCACATGAGTGACACGTGCAGTACTGAAACCCATGAGCCACGCATGTTCCAGTTTGAATGATCAAACCGCCCGCACCGGCGCCACGTGCCTCGTCACCTGGCGGAGCGCTCGCGCTAGGAAGGTCATGGGCCGCAGCGGCGGGGCGCTCAGCGAATAGCAATGGCCTTTGTCACTGTCAGGATGAGACATGTCAGACCAGAGGGGGCAAGTCCAGAATGAGCAAGCCAATCAGATGTTTTTTTTGGGGGGGGGAAGATTCAATAAGTGGGGCGCTCTCATCGGAAAACTGCTTTCGCCCCAGTATCACAGGGCCCCGGACGACCCCAAAGAGAACCTACTCCGCTTCCTCACCAACACAAAAGGCTTTCACGCCCCGCAAGAGCTGCAAGAACTGCAAGAGCTTACAATGCACCCTCGAAGTCTTTGGGGGAAACTCTCTGCCTTGCCTGAAACTGCTGCCAAAGCGACTCGATACAACTCACTGAACATTCTCTGCCTTGTATCTGGTCGCCAGGCACCAAGCTCAGCAGCCGGAGCCGGAGTCGAGGCGCAAGTTGGTTTCTCACCTGCAGTGATCTGACAAAGCATTTTGCGATGGTATGTCCTCAAGAAGCAGCACAGTATTGTTTTGGCGGTGCTGGTTGCTGCACAACATGGTTGCTGTCAAAGATAGTGACATCGTCCTGCGTCGGTGCCTTGCAGACGGCAGACGAGGCAAAAATAGGACAGATACATTACGAAGTATCAGTGCATACATGTAGTAGTATAATGCAATGTAATGCAATGCAATGCAATGGAATGCAATGTAACGTAGTGCAATGCAGTGAGATGTAATTCTTGTATTTGTGGAATGATGTGTGACTTGCACAAGGCAGGGAGAAGACACCCTTCTAAGCTCCACATCACATCGGACTGAACCACCTGGTTGACGGTCGCACTCGGGGCTTGGCTGGTGGCACTTGATTTGGTTTCTTGTATCAGGCAAATGCCGTTGCAGCGATACTCTGCTGCCACATGAACTAGGTCTTGACTCGTGCCTCCACCCTGAAGAAGCTCACCGATAACCGGTGCCGGATTGCCCAATTTGCCGCACGAAGAGCTTCTGCCTTTCCGATGCTCATCAAAGCAAGGTCTTCTTCCGTTCTGGGCCGTCATCTCGGTTCGGGAAGGCATAGTTCCGGTCCGTAGGCAACTGGGGTGATGTGCTTGCGGCAAGAGCTGCTGGCATGGTTGGCTAAGAGGTTTCCACGAAGAGAGTTCTTCTTGTGGACCAACCTGGCATTGAACCCTCCAGGAAGGAGTGTTCATGAGTATGGTCGCCGAGCCTGTTCATCACCTCGGCACGACGTGCTTTGTTGTGTGGTGTCTTTCTTCAGGGGACCATTCAAAGTCTTCTTGGCAAAGAGCGCCGTATTGGCGTTGGTGACAGCTAGCACGATGATCTGATAGAGAACGAAGAGCAGGAGTTTGCCAGGAAAGAACGTATGTGGGTTGCTCCACATGTGCATGTTGGGTGTCGGCCACCTGCTTCATGTATAGCCGCCCTTCTTGACGAAGTGAAGATGTGTGTTGTGGCTAGTGTCGAAGAGCAGTGAGTCTCTCCTTTTGTTGATGGTGCGAGTGGCTGGGTTTTGCATCTCACTCCACAGCCTCCAGGGGCCACATGGGCTGGTGCCACCAGAGAATCTCTGGTACTCGCATTCATCGGCTGAAAGAATGCGAGTCCATGTTCTCTCCTATCCGCTTGCCTTACAAGTGATTTCACATTTCTCCCGTTTTTGTTGGATGCTTTGCAGAGCTTAAAGCTGAGACTGAAAGAGGCTAATCCCCAAATGCCCATCAGTGTCCGCCCTGTAAGACGCCGGCTCGCAGGCTCCCGCGAAGCCACAAGCACTGGCGAGAGCACGGACGAGAGCAGCGGTGAGAGCGAGGCATCTTGGGTCTCAAAGATTCAAGAAACATGAGGCTTCGTTGATTCCTGCCAAACCCATATAAACAGATGGGAACTATTCAAACTATTCTTGAAGAATCAGCAGACGGGCGCCCCAGCAATGCAACATTGGTTGGAGGGTGAACCGTTTTGAACAACATTGTGGGTGACCGTGCCGGATGGTGCAGGTACATCTCAAAGTGGACCAACTCCAGCACATATCCATGTCAGTCCTTTCCAAAACGGCGCCCGTAGACCCCACTTCTGGGATGCTTCAAGCTGTTGTAGCGATGTTTTCGCCTTCAAGCATCGGAAAGACATTGGATATAATGATCTTTGAGATCGTTTACAGCAGGATGACACGGAGGAGGACCTCGAAGAGGACCGCCCTGGGCCCATCGCATGAGCTGCAAAAACCATCCATGAAAGCCGCATGTGCCAAGGCTAGGGAGGGTGACGATGCCACATAAGGAGACGTGACTGTAGCTTACATTGCGCATGGTAAGGTGCCCGCTTTGTGTTTGAGAGTGCTGAATGGGAACTGGTTTCGTGCTGGGTTTGTTTGTCGCGTAGTTGTTCTCACTTGTTCCTAGCCGATGTGTGGTTTCAACATGTTTCAACTTTTGTCACTCCACCTCCTGAAAGACACGTGGATAAATCTCCGATTGACAAGCTTATGTTCACTGGCTATATTTGCTAGCTGCTAGATTCGTGATCGGGAGGCTTTTCAGCGTAGCCTACCTCCAAGGTGTCAGCTCATCCAAACCGTGGCTGTGAGTGGCTCTTCGTGGCTGTGAGTAGCCCAGAGCAGAATGCCATGGCAGCTGCTTTCACACGCACGACGGGGCTGGGTAGAGGTTTGCAGTGAGGAGGAGGCGCTACTGCAGGAGGCATGGAACTCCTACCAGGAGGGCGGGAACCAGGTGGGCAGACTGAAAGATAGATGAAACCATAATTCAATTTAAACCAAACTATGCCGACTTAATGCTGGCGCAGATGGAACCACCCCAACACTCTGTTTCACTTTCCACCAGTTCCCACCTGTTCCGCCAGGTGGTCTCCTATCGTTTGGCCACGGGTGTCCCAGTGGAGGTGGACTTCGCAGCCCAGCTCCGTAGGAACTTGGCCTCGCGGCGTTCGGTCCAGTTGCGCCGCGCTGCGCGTCCAGCGGCCGCGCCGACGCCGATGGTGCCGCTGCTCGCGGGCGTGACGGCGGTGCCCACGGCGAGCAGGGAAGGGTCGGTGCCCAGCGGTAAGGCCTGGGAGGGCGAGAGAGGGGTGATGGAAATGGCCAGAGCTTGGAAGAGGGTTTGACTGTATGTTGACGCCAAGCTGGTAAGGCAAAATGCATTCGATCCAAACTGATTATGTCGACGTGGTCGAAGGCTGCCAAAAATTCAACATCATGGTCGTTGTTTTGACGCTCGTCACAGTTCCTTGGCCGTTCGGTAGGTGGATTATTCCAAATGGCAGCAGCTGGAGGACAGTGACCAGGAGGAAAACGAGCACCTAGAAGAGACCATAGCCAACCTCCCGCTGCCAGCGGAGATCTTGAAGCCTGACCAAAGCTGCTAACCCTTAAAGGGAGAAACTTTTGCTGGTTTCTCCGGACAGCTTAGAAACCGACGTGCTATGGTCGCAATGGCACTCACTTTTGGCCAGGTCGACTCTGGCTACAACAGGAAAGCCACCGCGAACGTTTCCTGCGGTCTCCACGCCTGCGAGGGAAGCATAAGGATTTGGTGGAGAGTCGGGAAGAAGAAGTCCCAATGACCAAGTTCTTCGATGCTTGCAGGGTTCATCTGAAGGATGCTGCGACTCATATGGAGAAGGGGAGGGCCTTGTATGCTGAGGCAGAGGAGCGGATGAGAGGCTTCCGAGGATCAAATCAGCCTCAAGTCAAGAGTCCACTTGTTTTTCCAGAAGTTCCCTCTTCACGCAGCTTCCTCACTTCTTCTACCACTGATTCTTCCGAACCCTCAGCACCGATCAAGAATCACCCTCCAGGAGCTTCCGGGCTTCGACCACTGCGGGCGCTGCTTCGCACTGGCGCTGGATGAACTCAACAAGCTCCACGCACTTCGTGGGCCAATTCCTGGTCCCATGCCGTTGCCTCTCAGGGAGACCTTCCAGGAACAGTGGACCAACCTTTCAAGTTGAGGGAAAACCCCACAAGAAAGACGCATGTAGAATAATGTAGAACAAGTGAGCAAGTTGGCAAGAAACTCTTGCCATGTCTTGATAGGGTTGACTTGGGTGACTTGAACTCATGTGACTTGCTTCCCGTGACGTGATGAAACAACCGGTGAAACCACCCCGTTTGGCCGATTTGGCGCCGAAAGGAGTTCTCCTCGGAGCACCACCGGCTGAGCTGTGGGGCCTTGTTGAATCTGGCGCAGTGCAACTTGAAGGCTGGAGCGCAGCTGGTCGGGCGAGCTGGTCGGGCGAACTGGTCGGGCGAACTGGTCGGGCTGGTCTTTACAACACGTTTTTCAACTGCAAAACACTGCAGCTGCAGGGGCCTGGGTGCTGTTTCACAACCATTCGGGACCTATGGGGCATGTAGATGCCTATGATCCCCTCAGTGAGCTGTTGGATCTGTTGGTTCTCCTCTTCCGATTGGATTGAACCAGTGAAGCCAATGGAACTCGGTTTCCATTGAGGCGGCACGCTACCGGGCAGCCTTGGAGAATGCAGAGGAGGCCTTGAGCTTGGAGAAGAGTGCCAAGGCCTACTACCGGAAGGCCTTAGCCCTAGAGGCTGGGAGAGTGAAGAGGTGGAAGAAGGATGAAGAAGGGGCCCTGGTTGATTTGGGATGGCTTCCACCATTGGATCTCTCAGATTCTTGGATGCCTTTGTGCCCCAGACAGGTTCTGAGGTTCTAGTAGCGATGCCCTTGTTACTAGTAGCTTCCAGCTACTAACTAGCTAGAAATGCCCTTGTTACTAGTAGCGATGCACTTGTTACTACTGAATTCCTGGACGCCGGCCCCGTTCCGCAGGGCCTGGGCTTGGACGTTCAGGCGCTGCCGATGTGGCAGAAGGCCTTGCGCGAGGCGCCGAAGGATCCCATGATCCGGCAGAAGCTAACGAAAGCCATCGAGAAAGTGAAGGCCAGCGGAGTTAGGTGGAGAGGCGAGAGAGAGGTCCGGGTTCTTTCTTTGGAGGGGTCATTGAGATTCCGGTATGTTCAGGTTCTCTTTGACCTGTTTTTGGACCGTTGATCTGCAAACATGTTCCATCAGTTGCTCGCCTTGCACGCACATGTTCTAGGGAGGGCTTGTTCCTGTGGAAACCTTGGGAACTCGGCCCACACCAGGAGCAGCGCTGCTGGGAGGCCAGGGCCTTCCGTGGGGCGCTGGGCTCTGAGACCCGGTCGGAGGCGGCACGTGCCCAGCGTGCGGAACGGTTGCAGCAAATCGTCCGCCGGGCGTGCGAGTATGTGAACGTCGGTGATGTGCGAAGAGGAGACGATTAAGCAAGGGATGTGGCCTTAGGAGAACTTTGGGGTGATTAAGCAAGGGATTTCCTATTCTCACTGACTACTTCGAACAGTTCAGGGTCATAGTCTTAGTCCAAAATGCTGTTTGAATTTGATGAGATCAGTACTGAATTGAAGTATTGAGCTTGAACTACATGATGCACTTGGAATGGAACATATTTAGCTACTTGTGCAGTCAGTTTATCGATCAATTTGGGAGTGGGCTTGTCTCTTTTTAAGGTGTCCAGTTTTTGTAGGGCTGGGATGTTCGACTTAGGCGAAGCATACCCCGAAGCATACCCCCGAAGCATACCCTGAAGCATACCCTCTGAAAATGCTACTACTTTAGTCTTCACACTGCGCGAAGCATACCCCGAAGCATACCCCCGAAGCATACCTCCGAAGCATACCCCATAGTCAAACATCCCGGCCCGGGAACCTTAAAAAAATACAAACCCAGTTGTCTAGATGGTCAGGGTCAAGTCTAGTCATAGGTCGACGCTACTCCCCTTTGGGGAACAAGACAGCTCCCTCAAAATAAGAAAACTATTCCAGTGATTACAGTGGTGCTGTTATTGTCCTTGCTTTCCTTCCCAGTAGTCCACACCACATGCCCAGTCAAAACAAGGACAGGCGCACGCCTTTGCACCAAAGGCTAAGGATTTTATGCATTGTCTTGTGATTTCTGGCACTTCATAACCAGCTGAAGCAATTGAAAAGAACCATTGAGCTTCATGAATAGGCCATAGGCCTCCAACGGTCAAACTCGTTTCAACATGTTTGGAGCGATTTTTGGAGCGAAGGAGAGCTTTTGAGCCTGTGCACGACGCTGGTTTCAACCGGGGAGCTGGACACGCATGAAGTGGAGGCGCTGAACGCCCTCTTCGCTCAGTCGATCACCTGCACTCAGCCTGGACTGCCGGACTTGGAGCTTTCGAAGGCTTGGGGCATTCCGCGGCGTTCGCGGGGGAGTCTCAAAAAAGCCAAAAGAGACTCCCACAAGCTCCACTGAGGTGGGACAACCACATTTTGTGAGGTGGCCACCTCATATCACCTCAGGGTGGCTCACCCTTGTGGTCTACTTAAAGCCACTCTGACAGGACGAGGTGACCTTCTTGGACTCCCTGAACCTCACCTTGCCCGGGCACTCGCAGGGCCCGCGGGGCCCGCAGCCCCGCGCGCGGGTGGCCGAGCTGCTGCAGCGCTTGCGGCAGGGGCTTCCGCTGGGCGCTGAGGAGGAGCACTTCCTCCGCGAGGAGCAGCAGCGCCTGGAAGCTGCCCTTGGCTAAACCTGCTGAGAGCGGAGGGCGCGGCGGAGAGCGGGGGGCCACCGTTGAAGTCGAGTGCGATGGTCCTGCTTTTGAACCGAAATGGAGGCATCGAACAGGCAGATGCAGGCACGTGGCGTGGCCAAGTGACACTGGAGCAGCTCAGTCAGAGCTGATGGCTCACCCCAGCTTCGGGTGATTGGACTCGGGTCTGGCTGGCGATGGGATCGATGGGATCGATGGACCTGGATCGGCACCTTATGTGCCGGAGAAACACACTTCGACGCGTGGAATAGAAGATGGTCAGACGAAAAAGATACCAGCACGATCCAGCACGTATCAGCACATTGGCTGTTTACTTTGTTGGAGAGTAGCGCTCAGTATTCTAGAGTTTATAGGTGCACTGGGTGTGTATAAATTTGTATATACACATATATATATATATATCTCTCTCTCTCTCTCTCCCTGTATTTGTGTTATATGCACCTACAAGTGCACAGGAGACCATTTTCCACTCATCACGTTTCATCAAGGCAGATTAAATCCTTCGACGTCTGCCAGATCTCAGACCGCCTGGCAGCCATGGCTCAAGGAGGCGCCCCATCCATACTCCTGGGCCATGCATGGCCGGTTTCGGCCTCCAGTCCTCCAGGAGGTTGCGAGGTCTTTGATTTACCGGCATGGCCTGGGGAGTCTTGCGGCTGGTGCTCCAGCTTCTGCCGGCAGCCCTGGGCGATGCTGGTGGTGAGGTCGACGAAGAAGTGCGAGGAGCGCTGGTGGTTGATCAAGGATGTGAAACAAAGGATGTAGATGATGTAGCAATGTAGGTCAGAACGGCCCCAGGCCAAGTAGCGTTACAGGTCATTTCGAAGTTCAAGCCACCGCTCACACGCTCCAAAGATGAAGGGCAGCTTCCTGCAGATGTTCGGCGGACATTTGCGCAACCCACAGTAACTGCCCCCCGCATCTGCTCCCAGACCTTTCATCCGTAGGCAGGATGTTGCACCGGCGTGATGACTCGCGCAACATTCAGATCCCCCAGACCAACCCAACAGAGGTCGTGAGGTTTCAGGTTACCCAATACGACTTGATGGTGGCAGCTGCTGCAGCTGCTGCAGCTGAAGCAAGTCACAAGTGTTGGATATTTTGCAGCCGACTTTGCTGTGCCCTGTGGGAGGAGCGATGAGCACGTTCTGTCCACATTTGGATGAAATACCAGACATGTTTACAACGTTTTGGCAGCGGCTGCACTCCGCAGTGCTTCAACTCGAGACGCTTGCCATCACAGTTTCCTTCTTGGCGGTTTTGTCGGGCCAAAAAGAGGGGGCTCCGAATTAGACTGACCCATTGTGAGGAAAGGGGCAGGGAATCGGTTGCTTTTTGTCCGCACTTCATTGCCTAGGCGGGAATTTGCTCTGGACGCACAGGCTCCTGGCTACGAAATTCGGGCTTTGTGCGTGCAGTTGGCCTTCCTGCGGAGCATTGTAAAGGGTCAAGCTGGGTTGCCCTTTCCGCGGCTTGGACCTCATGGACGGAGGCTCTTGGAGTGGATGCAGTCTCCACAGTCCGTGAGAAATCCAGCTTCTGGAGACCACAAAAACCAGAGCAACACCTTTGGGGATCATGACACCATATAGCACTCAAATATCAGTTTCCTTTCTTCCTCAGCTGCGCGAGTGAAGTCTCAGCTGGGCTGAGTTGTCTTTTTTGGGGTTTCAGCCTTTAGAGCAGAGTTATATAAGTGGGAGACTTCGCCAGGTCACCGGAACAGCCTACTACAATCCCGGTTGGAATTTCCTCTATGGAATCAGGTCACCTGGGTACTGAAAATGACCATTTTATAGTAAGAATTTCTCTCTATACAACGGAGTCTCCTAGGTGTTCTGATTCTAAGACAAACAGCGTTTTAGCTAGCTTTGTCCGTGAGCTTGATGTACTAGAGCTGGGATGTCAGATTATATAGTGGTACCTTGATTTCATGTAACTGTCCGTGAGCTTCTGCATGGTCACATGGGGGTTGTGATTTTATAAGCTCCTTGATGCTCGATGCGGTGGATGTTGATGACAATATCTGCCCAATATATCCCAATATCCTGGAATTATGTGGATGATCTTTGGATGGGTGCAGACAAGGCAAATAACAAACAGATCGGAAAACGCTCTGGCCACTATAGAATCACAGGATTTTTGGTTATCTTGATGTTATTTTTTTGTCGAAGATGGGAGGTGTGATTCTTTAGCGATCGGACTTTTTCCGATTACTGTCCGTGAGGTTGCCTTTCCGACTAAGGGGTTTGATTTTATAGTGATGTCGGTTTGTTCAGGCCTCAGATTCTATAAGATAGGGGGCCGTACTGAGTGGATAAAATTGGAGGGGTCAGTGCCTGGACTTTATCTGTGTGCCAGCCTGCCAGCAACCTATCCAGGGGGTCTGTCCTCCAAAAAAATCAACCCAAGTAAGGAGTGGATAATATTTTTTGGGGGTGGATAAAATGGGGTCAGTGCATCAAAAATATCCAGAATAAACGCTCCAATTTTATCCACTCGCTAGTGGGAGTAGAAAAGGAAAGAAAAGATAGAACATCGCTCGTTGGACGTTCGTTAGATTTCCGCTCGTTAGATTTTCCGAGCTCCATGGACGTCATGATCACAGAGAACCAAAAAATTGTCGGCGAAACTTGCCAACGGAACGTCAAAGCATCAGTCACCGCGGGCTTTCAACTGCTCCAACAGCTGGAAGCACTCTTGGTCAGCACCTTTCAGCTCTGGATCATTCTCAGTGGGACCCTGTGTTTCGACGTGAGGAGTCTGAAAAATAGTGGTGAGGCCTCACACTCATCCAGGTTCATGTTATAGTCTTCCTCATCGGGATCCTGCACCAGGTCTTCCATGAGATTCGCAGCCTGTGAAAAGGACACGTGTGAAACATGTGCGTCCTAAAAACAACCTGGATATTTTCCTTGGTACTGAGGTTGGGGAGATATACAAATGACAAGTTGTGGGATACGCTGAAATTAATCTTCTTCTGCTGCTTCTGCTAGGTCTGGAGAGCTTTCAAAAAATTGCTCAACAGCAGCGAATATAAAAAAAAGGTGCGCTGACATCTGGACAAAACAATTTCAATGCAGAAGTTCCGTTCAACAAAGGAGCTGCTTCCCGGTCGCTCTGGGCATCGTAACCCTGATAAACTCCCGCTGGCATTCCTAAGTCCAGAGCGGCTGTCAAGTCCACAAAATACCGGCCAAAATGTACAGTTCGACCAGCACTGCGGGCCATGCAATCGACATTCTTTTGCAAGTGGTTGGACCCATTGATTCCAAACCAACCTCAACCACAACCACAACCAACCTTCTAAGGTTTGCAGACTTCCGCAACAATCCTTAGTTTTGCGGACCACCACAGAGCACATAGAGCGTTGGAAAAAAACCTGGGCCTGGGATCGTTTCTTTTTGTCTCGTTTGTCGATTATCATCTACTTTTGAGGGGGGGGGTTCCTCGATCCTATTCGTCTAGCTTGCTAACCTCAGGCCTTCTCAAAATTATCTATCTGCACTGGTTGTGTACTTTTTTTGGGGGGGGGCCTTATGTTGGCCCTCTGGCCTTCAAATTTATCCACCGGTTTTGGCTAAAAACCCGTCAGTCCCTGGAAATTATCCGGTACTGACCCCGGACGCCAGTACAACGGGGTATCTATAAGGACCTAGGTGTCCCGAAGCTGGGTGGCGCCGTTTTATACTATAGAACCGGGCCACCCAGGACCGGAGGTGAATTTCAAAGGGGGTCTACTACATGTTTGTTTCTTGAGCTACGGGTGAACGTGGAGAGAACAGAACATACTACCGTAGTTTTTCAACATAGGATGAATGTGCCCTTGCAATCCGCGCAGAAGGTGCCTCGGTTTCAGTTTGGTGAACCCACCCGAAGCCAACTTCTTCGAACACAGCGCGTTTGTGGCACTGCATCCTCACGGAGGCATGCAGTTTGAAGTCACATGATGATTCTGATTTGATCGATTTGAAGTCATCATGATTTCTGGCATGTGAGAGGGATGAGGCATGCATTTGATCCATATTCTTCACGATCCCTCTTTGCACTCACTCTCCAGTTCAAAAATCCCTTCTGATTGAAAGACGCCGGTCACCTTTCCAAGGCAGGCAGTGAACAGCTGTCCCACCTTGATGGCCATCTACTTCGAATGGGCCAGCGGATTGGTGACGCGGATACTCGTGAGCGGATTTCCACCAGTGTTTGGGACCCCCCAGGAGATCCCCAGGAGATCCACGGGAATTTTCCCCAGACCGTTGAAGTAGGATGACTGATGATGACTGACGTGAAGCTCACGACGAGTGACGAGACGCGGTGGTATATACTGTAGATGATCCTACAAGTGGGTGCTTACGCCTCTGGAAACGGAAGACCGGCGCAGCTGAAAGAACATACCCCATGGAACCACTAATTGGTTGGCATCTTAATCAAGAAGAAGCAGCCCAGGATGAGAACATGCCATCAGACAATCTCACTGTATTTGGTGGCGTCTTCACCCCCCCAAACAACCCCGCCAAATCTGATGACTTTCTCAAACATCCCGACCCAATTTGAGGCTTGAAACCACACAATTGGCAACACTTCTGGTGGGAGATTCCAGGCCATTGTTTCCTTAGTTCCACGCGGATGGCCACCAGGCATCCTCCAAAAACCGTGGCCACCAGAGGCAGAACGGGCGCACCAGCCACGGCGTGCTCGTGCACTGATGCAGCTCGGGGCGCCATTGCAGCTCATGGCATTGTCCCGAGCCATGATGAGGCCCTGAGGGCTGGGATGGAGATGAATGAAAGGGGACCCGTGATCGGAAAAAGTGAAACACCAGTCCCAAATTCCTGCATGTTGCATACACGTATGAGGTGGATGACATGGCGACTCCAATGAAAACACCTCCGTTGATTTTGTTGTTTTGGGAGCTTGCCCCACATGCTCTCACAGACAAGCGCCTGGTGGGTCCCTCGTGAAGTATCCTCCATGGGGGCGGCCCGGTGCTCGTCCTGCAGAGGCCAGGGGAGTCCAAGCAGGTGAAGGACACACAGCAGCTTGGCAATGGAGCGGTGATGTTGATATGTCTTGTGAATCGGTAATTATAGGTGTTCTCGGTGCGTCGATAGATCTCAGACATGCTAGATAAGAGATGCTGGGCCCTTTGTTTTGAATGTCCTTCTGCGTTTTGGACGTGTAATGTGCTGTACTGTATATCAGTATATCATGACTTATATCATCGCACGCGAATCCCACCGGGAGCTTGCTTTGTGAAGGCATCCAGGTCAAATCCACCAGCAGGAACTCATAAATCAGACGTCTTGAAGGGTGTTGATGCTATGCTGACAAGTAATATACTGTAATCCGTGACATGGTGAGTTCTTTTGCCCCATGTTTTTTTTCCTCATGCAAACTGCAGCGAAAGGCAGCAAGGTTGAAGCAGTGGATGCAAGGTGATAACGGGAATCCCTCGAGCAGACGGTGAAATAGTGGACATGTGGATGCACTTCCAGTCGCGTGATTCGAGTGTTTGCCCCTGGAAATGCCCACATCCGGTGCACACATCCCTACGCGGTAGGCCCTACCCATCCGTTGGCCCATGTTGGGCCTGAAAGTTCCTTCTTTCCACCGAGGAGCACGGTGTCAACACAATACGCGGAGAAGCTCCAGAAGCTCAAAGGCGATTCGTCCGGTCGTTGGATCAACACGGCGGACACCTCGCAGAGGTGGCAAGCGGTTGCATGGACCCTGAAAAGCACTGGTGCAGCTAGAGTTAGAGGAAACAGTCGGACTCATTCTCAGTCAGGGTCCATGTTAGTTTTCGAGAGTGTATTTGGCAAACGGCTTGGGTCAGCTTGGTGCTCGCTGGGTTGCATGGACAGGGAAGGCCGAATGAACTGCCACAAAGTCAGATTCGCATTTTCTAGTTCCCTGTCCTGGATGGATGGGCATGAGCAGTTGGCTGACCAAGCATTTAATCAGTCATTTAATCAGTACAGTATGACATGGGTTGTTACACCAGAGATCACCAGAGTGTTTTTAGCCACACACCTACATACAACACAACTTTAGAACAGGTCGCTCAAGCCCAACGCAGCTTTTCTACGACTGCAGCAAGGTATTAAATGCCTAGCTTTCGTCCCCCTTGGGACTCTTCAGGGCTTTGCAGCCGCAAATGCTGCGGTGATCAAGCACATGCCTAGGCATCGCGCATTCAATAACCTAGGCAAGTGCAAACTGGACATGATCTTTTTTCCCGAAAGCACCTGCGAAGGGTTTTTCCTTAAGCACTGCTGCCTATTTCATCTTCCTTAATCTCTTTCTCTTACTTGATCTTCCCCACTCTCTCTTCCTTACTCTCTTTCTCTTACTTCATCTTCCCCACTCTCTCTTCCTGACTCTCTTTATCCTACTTCACCTTCCTTACTTCATATTCTTTACTAACTTTCTCCTACTTCACCCTCACAACATCATCATCTAATCATCACCTCATAGGTTATCATATCATATCAGGTTATAATATCATATCACATCACATCACTGTCATAACATATCATATCATATCATGTTTTAATATCATATCACATCACATCAATGTCAGATCATATCATCTCATATCATGTGATAAAATAATATCACATCACAACATAACATATGAAGTAGAAGTATCAGATCAACAATATCAAAGTACATCAGAAGTAGATATTGATAGGTAGGTATTGATAAGTGGGTATAGACAGGTAGGTGTAGGTAGGTAGGTGTAGATAGGTAGGTGAAGATAGGTAGGTGAAGATAGGTAGGTGTAGACATCTTCCTTAAGACACCTACCCAACTTCACCTACCCAACTTCTTCTTTATTCTTCTCTTT